GATACAATCTGCAGTAATGCCTCTTGAGAACATCAACTAGAAAGTAATATTATCAAACAGAGGACACAAAGCTCTTTCACCTATGGGCTACAATTACAACTCGAGTAGGTTCTGTGCTGTTTTCCTCAGTTAGCAATTTTACATAATCCACAATGTAAATAAAAACACACTGGATGGAACAGCATCCAGAGAACGCATCATCCCTCAGTTCTTCAGCACCCCACAGAGCAGCACTGTGCTCAGTTTCAAACCTTGGGTGAAGAAATGAAGGCGCAGAGGAGCGACACAACACGGGGATGTGCTGCAATCGATGCAAACGGCCCCAAGCAGGAGGGGACACAGCTCAGCAGTGATATCCACACGCAGGATGCTGCGGCCCAGAGCGCAGCCAGCTCTCCTGAGCATTTCCACTATTTGCACTGAGCTCAGAAAATTAAAATATTTTACGGTTAATGGTTGGAACAGGACCTGTGAAGTCCTCCTCGCAGCCCCATTTACAACACAAACGCCAATGACAGAGCAGCAGATGGTCAGAAACACTCCCCCAGAATATTCAGGCGATTCTACTTGAATCCATGCCCAAATCATTTAAACTTAATGGATTCTTTCATTAACAACCAAAGAAAGGGAATCTGGTTGCCAGGACATTAAAATCACTTTTTCAATTATACCGTTATAAAATCGAACAAATTAGCTGTAATTCTTAGCTGAAGCCTAAATGAAAGCACGACTTTATGAAAGAAATGAAAATTGATTTGGATTAGTGGGCATCGAGGGCTTTTTAAAAATTAACAAGATTCTTATGACTTCATAGCCTGGACGGATTAGCTGGAGGGTTTGCTGCCCTGTGTTTGGTACCTGCCAAGGCACCGCAGCTGGCCCCGCTGCATCTGTTACAGTGGGTTCTATTTAGACCAAGGGAAGAGGATGCAAAGATTGAAGCTGAAACCCAACGTGTGGGGAAGCTGTGTGGTGCCCAAATTCACCTGTCGGACCTGGCCCAGCTGGGTCTTGGCAAAAAGTAGGGAAATCAGAACCTCTCAGCTGTAGCAGGACATGGACAGCTGGCTGTATTACTTTGTTTGGGGTGGTCTCACTCCAGGATCAAGGCAAAAGTGCATTGGATGCTTCACAAAAAATGAAAAGCAAGCCCAAGATACTTGCTGCAAAGAGCACATGAGCTTAATGCAGACTATTTACAACCCCCCCCCCCCCAAAAAAAAAAAAAGAACACCAAAAAATACAAAACAACAGGTAAGGGTAACCATGGAAGCACCAGAAAGTCATTCAAAAAGGATAAAGGAGCTGCACCACTGGGCACCAGATACAAGGGAAGTACAACACAGAGCAGCAGGATCACACTATGAAGGAAGAAAGATGATCTTTGTATTGTATATTACAATTTTAATGAGAGACATTTGCTGCTCTGACAAACCCAGGAAACCTAAGGGATGTTCTAGAGAGCACTCTGCTGCAGGGGAGTTGAAGACAGAAAACAAACCTTCAGGATTTTATACGTGCACTGGACCAAGCGTTGAGAACTTATTTTTTTAATTAAAGAGGAAGGCAGCACTGCTGGAAACAATTCTGAGCAGGACTGAGAAAGACAGGATGTTCCAGCACACACTGAACCCCACACATCTCCAGGGCAATGCAGTGCTGGGAGCACCTGGCAGCTGGCAGAGCTGTTCCCTCTGTAAGGTAAGTGCAGCAGAACATTTCAAAACCAATTTCATGAATTCTTGCAACACAAAGCACTTTCAACGATCCCCCTTTACGAGTCAGCATTTCATATTTAGTTATTTTCACTCTTTATTGCAACATGGTGGTTGACAATTTGCATCTGTAAAAGCTGGCCTGAAAAGTTAATCTTTGGACAATTCTGAATGTTATTTCTTTGCCATAACCACGCTGATTTGTCACCCTGCATCTGGCCTTCTGATATGCCACAGGGTATGTTCCAACAAGTACAGAGCTCTTCCCTCTGAGCCAGGCTCTGTAATGCAGCCCACAGGGCTCCACACGCTTGTTTGCAGTTCTTGTATTTAAGAAAACATAAGCACACATTTTAATACAGAACCTATCAAGCTCCACGTGCCTGAGAAATCTCTAGTGATCTGAAAAACAGGACCCCGTGATTTTCTGATACAACAAACAGCAGGTTTTACTGTAGTAGAGTAGCAACTACATAGCCAAAGACACTGTCTGCAAGTAAGAGTTCATGTCTTGCTTAGGTTTGCTGTTTGAAAAGCCTCAAGGCAGAGCAGTTTAAGAAAGGACAGCCCCAGATGAGGCTACCACTGCCAGTGACCTCTCTGCAAGGCAAAGCAGAATGGCTTCTCCAAACTGATGCTTTAGGCTGAAAATGACTTAAGCAACATTGCTTTACTTCTACACTGCTGCAATGGAACAGGAGAGAGCACTCATCAAATTACTGTGCTTTTGCTGAATGGCAGCTAATGCCAGGGTAGGGAACAGTAATTTCCAGCTAAAAGCATTGGACCTTCCTGACCCAGCCAGCCAGCACAGATGAGCACACTCGACCTTACCTGGGAAATCTGCCCTCCCAAGCTCACTGCCCACTGGCAGAAGCTGGCACTTCTCACCACACTGCACACACACCAGCACCTCTCTGTCCATCAGCTGGGATTTAAAAGTGCCTATGGGGCCTTCTGCACATCCATTGATTGCCTAGGAGAAGCAGCTTATTATTATAATTATTAGTAACAATTATACAACTATTATATATGTTAATATATGTCAACAGAATAAGAATATTAACATATTCTCTACAGGGTATTCCACAGAATTAATGAGATCTAGTAATGAGACTAGCCTCTCTGACATCTCACTGATGCTTATTCCTAACCAAGCAACTGAATTCAGCACGCATCTGCTCAGGGAGAGCTGGGCTGCAGCTAACTCGGTACCTGTAGGTCAAAAGGACACGAATGCTGATGAACAGAGGTTTGTGTCTCATTTGGAGCAGTGATGGAAATGGTAGACATGCATTTGCTTGTTAGCCGTGCTATCAAGCTAGTACCCTCTTCCACAGGAACTGGCAGACAGTTCTGAGCAACCACGTCTCTAACCACACCAGCTGTCTGCTGCAGTGAATGCCAATCAGCCCCTGAGAGCTCTCTGCCTTTGTCATATTAATTCAAGCGCTTCACAGGGCTGTCCCTATTTGCAGTCCCACCTCTGCTCCAAGACCTTCAGGCTTGGCATGCTGCAGGATGAAGAAGAAGATTCCAGTGCTGTTACCAGGACACAGCTCTGTGAGCGCTTTTAGCAGGGCTTCCCATCCTCTGACACCTTCCCATCACTCTCAGGAGACAAGGAAAGAGAAACAAGCTCTCTCCAATGCACTGAGATCAGGAGCAGCTCCAAATCCAGAGAAGTGCTCTCAGGACAGCCTCAGGAGTACACAGGACACCTGCAGTACTGTTTTGCAGCCTGCCTCCTCTGCAAGCTGGGCAGCTCTGGAAGAGCAGACAGCTCACATCATTTCAGCAGCAGACCCTCAAAGCTCCTACTCTGGTGCATTGAAACCAGCAGCAAAATTCCTCCGGACTGAGGATGGAGGACTTGGCCCTAGAGAAGTTCAGAACAAAAGCAGAAGCAGCATCTGTGCTCACCCATGAGACACACAGAACATGATGCTGCCTCCCAGAGAACGATTTCAAAGCTGCTCTCCTTGCAGCCCCCACCTCTGGGCCCGCTTTGGCCCGCTTCTGTCCTACACTGGGTATTTGCATGGATACAAAGAGCCCCACCTCTCAGCTGCTCATCTCCACCTGCTGCATACCCTTCCCCAGCAGAGGACAGACTACACAGAAGGCCTGTTTGCATGCAGACAGCCTCCAAGGAGCCCTGCAGAGGAACAAAAGCGTGTGAGCATCTCACACTGGGAAGAGTTCATTAGGAGATGTGGGGCATCTTCAGGGAAGGTCAGTGTCTGAGATCACGCTGAGAACATGGCCAGCCAGGAAAAGCCCCGTGAGCCCTGGTACCCTCAAACACATGGAAGCGGGCAGGAGATGGTCAACAAGAGACTCGGTCTCTCCCCAAGAGGACAGTAGTCACAGCAGGTTAAGAACCTCTCTGAGGCTCTTGGCCCTCACTCTTCCTGTGATTTTTTGGCCCTTTCATACACACGTTAGCACTGTCCTGGCAGGTCAGTTCTGTGGACGCCCAGCCAACAGGGAGGCTGCCAGCACCCAGCTCTGGGTACCTCGGAGTGTGAGCCAGACAGCACTGTCAAAGGGCAAAGAATACACTCTGCAAACAAAGCCTCTTTGTTCCTCTAATTTTGTTCCAGTTAAGTCAGTTCAGCTGTTCCATATAACCAGTCAAAAACATTCAGCATTTCCCAAAGTATTTTAAGACTTCAAAGTTGTAAGTTTTGTTTTTGACACTTTAAAACTGCAATAGCTTTTTTTTCTTTACAGATTTTTTTTTGTATTAAAAAAAAAGCTGTTTAATAAATTAAGCTTTAAAACAACCACCGCTGCTCTGCTTTTATCATGCCTTCAATTAAAATATTGTTTCTTGAAGACAGATAATGACTTCTGAAGAAAAAAAAACAACAGAGTGTTACACTGAGAATGTTTTCAATGGATTCCATTTGTTAAAACTTACAATTAAAACCAAACTCCAAGTGGGACAGGCTCAAAACCGGGGCACTGTAAGTTGGCCCATGTCATTTATCTGAACTCAGCACTTTCCAGCCTTAAAGGAATGTATTTACCCCCCAAAATAAACTCACATCCATAGCCACTGCTGCGATCCTGGCAACAGAGGACAGCCACCCTCTGAAAGAGCCAGATTTGCCCTCGAGGTGGGACCGTGACCCCGAGGGAGGTGGGGAATGGGTGCTGGGGGACACATGGGTAACCACGAGCCCTGTGAGTCTGGAAGGAGATGCTTGCAGTTATCGAGGTTCAACAGAAGCAGTAGCAAGGGTGAGCACAAGCAGCTAACAGCTCTGCAGCACTCACCCATGAGGAAAACGCAGGAAAAGCACTGCTTAGATGAGTGCTCGGCAGCTCAGCAGACGGGAGCTGATCGGGAGCAGGCTGTTCCAGAACAAACCTTTCTGCATAACCCCGGCAACAGACCTGACCTTTTCATCTACAAAAAGCAGTCAACCACCGCTGAGCTCATGAATGTGGGAGATCTGCCCCCACAACTTGTTTTGTTAGCAGCACCGGGGCCAAGGCAGCACTGACAGTGATTGCCTCGTGTCAGGAAAGAGCCAAACAGCTCAGGGACCAGAGCTGGGCTGAAACCAAAGCTGCCCCAACTCTCCCTGCGTAACGTGAGTTACGCACTGACCCCACACGGAACCAGAACTTGAGTCTTCAAAAGCAAAGAAAAGAAGGTTATAAAAACTCATTAGCTACTTGTGCTTACAACAGTGCTCTTCTGCAAAGCTGTAAACATGGTGGGTGTTGGGAAGTGAGCACACCTCTGAGAGCCTCTTACAGGCAGCGCTGGGATGGACTGGGCCGGGCCAGCTTCGCAGTGCCAGCAGCACAGGCACTAATCCCTTCGTTTTGAGGCCAAAGCTCCGCTCACACAGTTCACAGTGCAACCCACAACCAGCTGTGTCAGCACAACCCAGAGAGCAGGATCAAGCAGCCGTGGGGAGGGAGCTTTTAAGCCCGCAATGCTGCCAAATGCTTCATATCACAGCCCTGCCTATTTGCATTTCTGCCTTGGGCCCCATCTGTAGCTTCCCATCCATGTAAAAGCTGTCCCCAGGGAGAAGGGAGGCCACTGTCCATTTGTTCAATGCGTCTCAGGCGCATCCAGTTTCAAATGAACTAGGTGGTAAAACCCCCAGTGATAATCTCTGCAATGTAATTCTGAAGTTTTTGGCACCTGGGGGCAGAGAAAAGCCTGGTCCAGCGGCTGTGCTCAGGCAGTGCCAGCAGTGCAGCCTCCCAGCCCTCTGGCAAGCAGTTCTGCCTCTTACCACCTCCAACACAAGTACTTCACTCTTCTCCACTTATTGGGAAACAATGATTTACACTTCAGTTGAGGTGATCTTGTAAGGTAGGTCTCCAAATGCAGCCTCACTTAAAATCAGTTAGCAATAAGAACATAAGGAATAAAATAAAACATGGCTACATCCCATGGCAGAAGCCTTAATGGGCTGTATTTTTAGCCCTGGAACAACCTGAAAGCCAGCGCTGACATACTGCAACACCGAAACTGTGTCACTGCAAAGCTATTTCATTACAAGCCACAGCTCTTCTTGCACAGACAATTTCTTTCATGAGCCCAAATGAGTTGGTGCAAAGTTTGCCAGCATGCACATGTGTATGGCAGCCAGAAACGAGCCCAGAATGCCATTTAAAATTGAGAATCAGGAAAAAGAATCCAAGAAATGCAAGCGACCAGTCCCTTTCAACACACACATCTCAACAGAGGTCACTGCAGTGACTTGGGGCTGGAAGAGGGCCAAGGCACCATGCAGGCTCCTGTCCAAGGTGGCACCCAGCCTCCCTGCTGGCAGCAGGAGCAGAGGAGCTCAGGCTGAGACCACACATCCTCCTCCTGAGCCTCCTGGTACTGCAGCGATGAAGTGCCCCACGCAGAGTGCCACTGAGTTCCACACCAGCCTCCTGCTGCACCTGAAGCCCTTCCCCCTGCCCCTGAGGGAAATGACAATGACCTTTCTGATTTAGTACGACAGAGCAGCTCTGACAGGCTGCAGGCTGGGCTGGGAGCAGCTGAACATCCTCCTGTTCCAAAGAATTGTAGATCAAAAACCTGCTCCGGATGAAAAGCTTATGATTCAGACAGCACACAATAAGCAAGGAGTAACGCTGGTCGTGCATGGTTTGCAGCGGCTGTAGTGTGGATGGCCTGCAAGCCTGAATCTCCAAAGACTTCAGTGGCTCTCAGCCTGCAGAGAAACTGTACTGTGCTCTTCTGAAAGCTGCTCAGCCCTGCACGATCCTGGAAGAACTGGAGTGAGAGCACCCACACAGTCCTTATCTCCCTCATTAGGAGGGAAAGAAGTTGCTCAAGGATCTAAAACTGGCTGCTCCTCCAAATGAGTTGCAAAACCATCTCAGGAAAGGTTTGTTATCTGCCAGCAGCCCAAACCACTCCTACCCACAGGATAAAAAAGCCATTAGTACCAGCAATGAGACTGTTACATTGTTGTTTTACATGGCTATAACTTAACAGTTCCTCACTGTTTACTTAAGGAAATCTCTTGAAAGGTCTATAAAATTATACACTCTTGATACAGTCTGAAAACACTGGCATACACAGGGATTTCTGTTCTTTATTGCATCCCATTCCCAAACTAGTAAACACCAGCTTATAGGAAACATCTCTTGCTTACTGAAACTAAGTTGCATGAGGATATTTTAAACAAAAATAAGGTGGGAGGCTGAAGGGAACTGACAGATTATGTTTTCCACTTTCATTTTGCCTTGTGTCTAAACAAACAGTTCCTAACAGCTTTGTTTTCCAAACCAACTTTCTCCCAGCTGCTGCCTGGAGCTTCAGAAAAGGAAAGCGATGCTCAAACCCTGCAAGAGTTATTTGACTTCATGCACTCACTTCACTCAGTGGATACACAAACCATGGGGAGCGTTACCAGGAGGAAGCAATGGCCTTGCAGAGGCTGGAAGACTTCAGCTACAAAGCAACAGCAGCAGGACTCAGTCAGAGCCTGGGCCATGCAGAGGGCACACGGGGCAACCTGCCCTTCGCTGAGCTCTTGTGCCAGCTTACTTGCCAGCTTGGAAGAGTGCTCTGAACTCATACAACATAATTAAGGGCAGCACAGAGACACTGACCGAAAGAAGATCCAAGAAACTGTGTTAGGGTTGAGCACATCTAATGTTTCTGTGTTTTGCTTTATCTGAAAGATCAAAGATCTTAATCATCAAAGATCTTTCTCATCCCTCTGCCTTCAGCTGCTGATCAAGGATTACATTCCTGCCCTCCTCTCCCTTCTTGCTACACGGTTTAGTGTTATTTAGACTGTATATATCTCAGAGCTCCTTGCCTCCACAAGAGATGTGACAATGCTGCTAAGGCTTTAGAACATGAATAGCTGTCGTATTAATAGAACTTTGACCCCCATTTCATTCAAATATCAGAAAATTCCTCGGATTTGACCATAAATGGAGATACGTCTCCATCAGAACCCCAGAGGTGCTGTGCAAACACATGGCTCTCACAGCCCTCGCACACACATCACTGAAACTTGCCCCATCTAAGCCTCAGATTACAGGCCTGTTCTGCATACTCCTAAAAAGAAAGAAGGGAAAATCTCAAAGCCCTCCACACCTGGGCTGCCAAAGTTATGCACTGAGAGCTTCCTGCCTGGACAGCTATCAGCTTTATGGCCACAGATGGGTCTCAGCCCATGTGCTCCTGCAGGGAACCCCACACAACCAGAGAACACCATTCATGCACCAGCCCTTCCCTGGGGCCCTTTTCTCCCACCCCAGCACAGCAGCTAACTCTCCCTGACAGCACACGGATTTCACTGCTACTCACAGCACAAATAAGGTAATTAGGCTGAAATCTTCAAAGCCCTGCCATTGCTGTCGGTAATGAGATTCTGCAGTTCACCTGAAAATAAAGCAGGGATATGAAGAATGGGCTTTACCTGCTCCACTAACAGCCTGAGCTCTGACTGCAGAGCCATGAGCCCAACAGCCTGGTCTGGCTTCGAGGCCACTCGTAGCTAAGAAGTCCACGTGCAAATACAAACCTTAGAAAGAGCAGCATTCACACAAAGAAACCAATGGCATGACACATTTGCCAGTAAAACACAAGCTACAAGACGACAAACTGATGTTTTAATCAGTGACAGCCCTTTTATCTTGCTGTGTTCCATGCAAAAAGGTGGCACATCGCATCTCTACTCTTACCTAAAAAACCACCTGCCAAGAGAAAGAGCAAAGAACCCTTTTGCTGGGGTGGTGCTGCTATGACACACACCCCAATGCACATTCATTCCTCAAACTGAGCTTAAAACTTTCACAGCAAAGACCCCAGGATGTATTTAAAATTATTGATTGAATGCTTTTGTTGGAGCATTTTTGCTCACAGTGTCTTGACAGGCTGGGGTTCAACCTGGAGTCTTTGTTCTGGACAGGGTGTGCAGGGCTATAGCAGGGCACATACAACACTCCTATCACAAACAGCTCCAGTCTCAGCTCTAGCAAGTACTGAGAAGTGCGCACATTCAGCCCCATTCTCTGCTCCCCCCCCACAGCCCACCTGTCCCAGAGCCCCAGGAGTTGCTGTCTTAAGGAGCTGCACCTCTCATGTGCTGCAGTTAGAAAATCACCTACCCCAAAAAGAGAAGTCAGGCTCCTGAAACTCCTGCCAGCTCTCCTGCATTTCCCAGGTAATTGCTTAAATCAGGAATTAACGAGAAATAATGAGCCAGCACACAGGGGAAGAGAAGACAATTCAGAACAGCAACAAAGAAAACTAATGGAAGTATGCTTTAATAGCTCACTGTAGATGGCTTCAAGACTGTATCACCCCAAGAGGCTTCACCTCTTCAGGAAGACACAGGGGCCTCAGCATGTGCACCAGCCACACTGCATGGGAACACAGAGGAACATGGCAGGGCTCTCCTTCCTTCTGCAGAGCAGGCAGAGCAAGCAGAGGGCTCAATGCTGCAGCTCCATCACCATCCGGGAACGGCCTCCGGGAGCTCACAGTCGGTCTGTGCTTCCTAGCCTGGCTGCAGCTGCACTCTGTGACATGGGCTCCATTCCCACGTGCAGACCAAGCCTGGCCTTATCTAGCTGCACTCCCCTCCTTCTAGTTATCTCTTAACCAACAAAGGCATGTTATCAGTACAGCTAGACAACCAACCCTATGTGGACACTAGCAGATAAAGTGAAGGCTTGAGGAGACATAAATTATAAAACGTGAGGTGCTGAACTGTTAAGTCGTTGGAATGTCCACAAAGGGACAACGCCATAACCTACCCAAGGACTTGACTGCTGCAGGACTTGGCATCCCCTTGGCACAGCTTCTCACATAGATCAGCTCTAAAAGATAATCTTCAACTGTGACTTGGAAAGTCAGTTATGATTGAGAACAACACGAGCCCGTAGAGCTCAGGGACCACGCAAGGAGGGACAGATAGGCTGCTCATGTCCTCAGCTGCTGGGGTGCACCTGGAGAGGCAGTGAGGAGCACCTCCTGAGGACTGCTAGAACCAAGGGTCAGATTGGGGGTGGGGTGGGGGGGGGACGACACATCCCCTCCTGTTCCAAATTTAAACTTCTATCTTAACAAGAGGAGGAAACCAAATTTCACAGCCTGTTCCAAAACCCCTCACACTTACTTTGCTATTTACCTCTCCAACATCAACAACACATTTACCCGCTGTCAGCACAAGCTTCTTTTCAGAGCATGTAAATCTCCACTTTTTCCAAAGCTGCAGCCAGTTGAAGCCTGACAGTTTGAGGACAAAGCACTGAAGGAACTGGCTCTGTTTGCAAGCACATAAGACATGCTTTCAGCTCCAGGTGGAGCACAGTACAATGCTGGGGACTCCCATTCCACTCTGGGGTCCCCCCACATCCACAGCATCCATCCAAGGTGATAATTCTTCCTCTGTCCCTGCACCTGTGCTTATTCGACTTACAAAAACTGAGACGTACCTTTAGACAGAGCCCAAATTACCCACTTTTTTCCCGCAGAGCAGAGAGGTTCTGCCCCTGCACCCCAAACTGCTGGAGGTTGCTGTGGACCAAGGAACACAACCTCATCTGCTAGTAAAAACAGATTTATTTCCATTAATCTAGACTAATCACTGCTCTTTCTCTCCTAACGAGGCCCCGTGTGCCTCAGCACACAGCATCAACAGAGGAGAAACCCTCTTCTTCAGAAGCAAGCAACTTCGGGGCACTTTGAATGGCGCCTTCCCCTTCTTAAGGAAGATAAGGATGAGGGTGGTGCCCCTCCAAAGAGCCTCTCACGTTCAGGCCTCTAACAGCCGCGCAAAATCTCTTTGACTTTATCCAACTTTTACTACTGCTGAGCAGGGATTAACATTAATTGCGCCCATCCCATATTAGCCAAGGATTATTCGTGAGGCACCAGCCTATAATCACTTGTGTTTTCCAGCACAGACCTTACGCATACCGCTGGGATAGCTAGCGGGATAATCCCAGTCACATTTCTAATGAAATCTACATAAAAACTGCACATCCACACCCTTGTCTTCCCCCTTCCAAAATACCTAATTAGTTCAGCTTAGAGAACACCATAAAAATTAATACTGTGAAATTTCCAGTCTAACAAGTTTCTGGTGAGAAAAATTATTCCCTACAAGGGCAACATTTTTTTGTTTTCTTAAACCATAAACTTTAAAACATGCAAACAAGTAATTAGTCCAGAGGAATTTTAATTTACAGGCCTGCACATACCATGCACACACGTTTGGGTCCGGCTCCTGGCTCCATGCAGGAGCCACACTGAAGTTTGGCACGCAGCAGGGAACCAACGCCTGCTACCCACAGGCAGCAAGGTCTCACCAGTGTTTTCCTGCTTGTGATGCACCACGGCTGCTTCAAGCAGACAGCCAAGCTGCAGCAGGAGACTGACGCCAGAAAGCAGCCGCTGCGATGCGTAGGTGACGTGGCCAAGAGAGAGGGTGAAGCTCCAGTGCTCCATCTGCACCAAAGCGCTGACGGAGGCCATGGCAGAGATGTTATTTGGTGAAAGCTGCCGTAGGACTGAGTGTTTCTCTATGCTGGCGAAACTGGAATGACAAACTACAGGCTGTGATCCCAGCAGTGACAGCAGCATTTCTGTTTAGAAGCTATATGGAAGCTGCACGATGAGCCCCATCTCCAAGTTTCCTGCAAGCAAGAGTCTCCCGCAAAACCACGAGTGTGCATCAGCGACAGGCTGCCTGCTCACCAAAGCAGCTCTCAAGAGCTGAGATCTCTGCACCTTTCCCTCTGCATAACTCCTACCCAGCTGTGTGGCCGAGCTGAGGCAGCAGGTGTCGTCAGAACTCACTGGGGCGGAATCACAAAGCCAGGCTCTGAAGTGAAGAGGCACAAAAATCCACTCTGCTCAGCAAACACCGAGCTGCTGGGAAAAGCCAGGCTGTTCCCTGCACTGCCATCAGCTGCAGGATGGCAAGCGGGTGAGACCCACCCGCATGCATGCAGCTTAGCGAAGCACAGGTTAACAGGGAACTCGATCAGCACACACAGGCAGGCTTGCACACCAGCACATGCCTTCATAACCACTGATAAAGCACAGCTCACTGCACGCAGCCTGCATGCTGCTGAACAAGGACACCAAGTAGCTTACCGAGGGCTGTGACAGGTGAGCACCCACTTCTAACAAAACAAAGAGTCAGAAGAGTGATGCTCTTAAGGAGATGCCCTTGCTTGAGCACCAGCAACACACCCTGACTCCCCACTGCCTGCAGAAGAGCAAGGCAGCTGGACTTCACTAGCCTTAAAGCTACAGACATGTCCCATGGTATTAAAAGAGAAGTGCAGACTGATGGCTGAGACTCCTGCCCTTGTGCTCAAGAGTTGCTGAAGCCTTTTACCCCACACTTAACTCCCTCTGCTGCTAAACAGTGAATCCTGGCAGCTGCCACAGGCAGTAAGGAAACGGGAAACGATTCTCTGGCAGCAGCTGGGAGAAACTTCCTCCTCTCCCCGCTTTGCAAATAAAGAAAAGCCCACAATAGCACTTGAGGTATTGCTGCCCGCCAGATTTCCAGCAGCACACTCTCGAGGAAAGCTTGCAGACAGGGAATCTGCTTCTGAAGGCGCTCTTCAGACAGATGACATTTGACTTGGGGGACTCATCTCCTCCAGGAAAAGTTCTTTGTTTTCAGTGCGGAGAAAGAGTAAAATGGAAAAGAAAGAAGAGTTGTATTCACTGTGACCCAGGAGAAACTGAGCTCAAGGGTGTTGATCAATATTTTGATTTCTCCGTCAAAAGCTGCAACCAGCACTGACACAAACAGCTGGCTAGAGAGCCTGGGGGGGAGGAAGGGGAAGCAGGAAGGGTCAGTTGCACCCCAGCTTCCAGGCACTTCTCTTTCCATCACAACAATTGCCATTAATGGCAGTAATTTAAATGGCTAATAGGCAGTGCTATGTTTACAAAATCATTATTGGGAAGAAGGACCTAAACAATTCTTGCCAAGCCAGCAAAGGCACTGCTGTTGGATCAGACGCTGCATTTCTTTTTTCCCCTTTTCTGTGCACATTCTGCCAACATGCTCTGCTACACAGCAGTGCAGCATAGCACTCAGCACACACACAGCTGTGCCGTGCATCCTCCCGCTCCAGGGGCAGGATCAGCCCAACAGCAGCAGTACTGCCCCAGCTCTGTAGCAGAGGGTTCCAACCCAGCAGGAAGTGATGGAGCAGCAAGCCTGTGTGCCCAGATCCCCCACCCAACCACCGTCACAGCCCCAGGCGAGTGCCGGCATCTCGCACACCAGCCTTATCTCCACACAGTGACAGGTTCTGTCACATCCCAACCCTCTGTGCGTCGCCCTGAACATCTGCTGATCCCTGCACTCCCACCCTCACCCCGCAGTGAGCTGCACGTCTCCTGAGGAGCTCGCTCAGTGCTTTGCCCTGAGCCAGGCACGCCAACTTGACAGGCAGGGCACGGACACAGCCTGGATGCCCCGGGTCAGCATGATAAACAGGAGGGCTACGTGAGACATCCTGGTAAAGCAGCACCGGTATTTCCAGAAAGGCAAAAGAATGCCGTGTCACAGGACATCTCCGGAAAGGTAACAGCATTACAAGGCACATGTTTCTCACTAAACTCCATCATCTGTTGACAGCCATTCAGGAACTCTCAAGCACGGCCAGCAGAGCAAAGCAAGGCCCGCGCTGCCTCAGCTCTGAGTTGTGCCAGCCCACCTCCCTTCTCAGGAGCAGTCCTTCCTGCTCCATTTCCCAAAGCCTTACACTGAACAAGGTGGGAAGCACACCAAACCCAAAGGGAAAGTGGTACCAAGGTCTAAGTAATAGACAAGAGCAGGGAAGGAAGGCAGAGCAGGGGAGCAATGCAGACCCACCGCAGGTGCAATACCTTCACCGGTAGACTTTAATTCTCCCCTCAATTTGGATTAAGAATAGCCTCTCAGGATGCTCACATTCATTACACACCTTTAATACTAACAGCCTGTCCTTAAGAAACCCTCCCAATGGGACATCTTGGGAAAAAAAAAAAAAAAAACCCAAACCAAAGAAACACTGAATAGACCATGCTGTTCTACGGCTCCGTTAAATTTAACAGGGCAGTACCCAGCAATTCCATTTACAATGCAGACACAGACTTTTAAATAATTTCA